CAATGCCTCCCAAATACAAAACAAACTTCAAATGCTTACTTTACTATAAACTTAAAATTTGAAAATAGGAAAGACGCAACAAAAGAAATACCAAAGAAGTATAACTAAAAATAAGTGAGATTTACAAATACCAGGATCGGGTAGATGGGATAGATAAAAAGATGCCAGGAGATGTGAGGCAACTTTTTATTCCTTCTTTTGATAAATTCCCACATAAACAATGTCTACCAATAATTAAACTCCAGCTAGTGCAACTGATGATGTTGCATCTATTATTTTATCTGATGAACCTTATAAGACACTTATAAAAAAATATTCGACACGCTTAGTTGGTGCAGTACTTTCCATCAACAGATTGATTTGAGAGCAAAAAGGGATAATGGAGATATCAACACAAAAGAAAGAGAAGGAAAGAGTAATCCACATTTGCTGCAAGCTAGGAAAAACACGAATGACCAAATATGTTAATAATCTGCAAGTACCTGTTAAGATAAGGTGCTTAATGTATAATTACTTCAAATATGAAAATGGGTAGACTATCTACATCAAGCCCCTTGAGGCGTGAACTTTTTTCATGCCAACTGTGAATTCCTTAATATATATAAACTTGAGCTACTAATGGGTATAGCAGAAAAAAAATTGAGAAGAAGCAAAGACCACCCAAAATAATGTATAGAAAGAGAGAACCAACAACAATATTGACTTACTTTCCCTCTGTTCCTCTGATGCAAGATCTTCCGTGATTTGTTGCATGTCACAGCAAATCCATGAAATAATAAACCATATTCGTTACATGAATATACAATTTTCTTTTTCGAGCTCTGCTAACAATAATACCATATATATATATATATATATATATAACACTTGAGCTACTAACCCGTATAACAGAACAAATTGAGAAGAAGCAAAGATCACCCAGAGCAATGTATAAAAAGAGAGAACCAACAACATTACTGACTTACTTTCTCTTTAACCTCCAATGCAACATCTTCCATGATTTGTTGTGTTCACAGCCAATCCATGAAATAAAAATGTCATATTCGTTACATGCAGGTACGACTTTCTTTTTCGAATCCTGCTAACAATAATACCATATAAAATACTTGAGCTACTAGTCCATATAGCAGATCTTCCATGATTTGTTTATCTGCATAAAATAAGTATTGATGGATAAAAATTGGATTTAGAAATAGAAGATCCATGACAACAGCCACCACATTGTGCCAAGAAAGAAGTACACTGACAATCCATAAATTATACGTATTCAATAATATTTACAAATAAATCGAGCTTAAACTCAATATAAACAGTTCTACAATCTTTATAATGCCATTTTGTATCATATCAATTTCACCTCTAATCACAACTGAACTTTATTGGTTTAATTGATAACATTAATTAGTGAGCATACAATAATTGAAATTGAAAAAGAAGAATGTGTGAATAAAAGCCGCCTCACAGTTTCTAATTAAGGAATAGTTAAAATCTGAAAAAGATATGCATAGAAAACAGACAGAATTTTATAGGCCAAGAATTAACAGCTGTAAAATCATGAAAAGAGGAAGCAAATTCCAACAATGTCGGCAGAAATCTTATAATATGAAAATTTTGTTTGTGCATTTTTCCTGTTTCAAGAAATCACCAGAGAACAATTGAAACGACGGGTGCATTACTCTAATGTCAGAGAATTCACATAAGCGTAACAAGATTATTGTAAAATCTTTACATGAGTTATCAAGGGACATGCCATGTTCCTTTATCTGACACAGAAATGTAGGACTTTTCACAGTCAATGATACCTTCTTTATTCTTTGGAGGTGTGTTGGTGTCTTCTCGAATTTCCACTTCCACATATGAAGTGAAACTCCAAGATCAATTGAAATGGAGAACAATAAAATTGCAGAACTTGGTGCTTGAAATCTAAGTCGATGTTTCAACATTTTCTAACTACATATAAGAACAGAGGAATTATATTACTCTCTAGAATAAAGAATCAAGTATTTTATAAATGCACTAAAGGAGAAGATACAAGGATAACTATTAAAGCTATAATGTCTCAAAAAATTCCTAATAGTAATTTTTAAGAAGTAAAATTTCATTGCTCACCTAACAATAGTGACAATACCGTCAAGTAACTTCAATTCCACCAATTCCTCGCTTGT